GAAAAAAACCTATACTCCATTAAGTCAGTAAAGCAAAAAAAAAAAAAAGGGTAAATTTATTGATTCATCCAAACTACCAAGATAAACCAATAAGAGATCAGCAATCTAAACAGACCCATAAAAAAGGGAGGAGATTGAAGCAGTAATAAAAATATTTCAAACTAAAAAATTTCAAGGCCAATAGATTCATAGCATAATGTTACCAAGCTTTCAAAGAAAAGCTACAGCTAATACTTCTTAAATCTTTAAAAAAAAAAATAGAAACAGAAGAATGAATCCTGAACTTGTTTGAAATCAGCTGTACTCTACTACCCAAAGATACACACAGAGGTAAAACTACAGACTGATAGCTATATCTTGATGAGAATAGATGCAAAAAATGTTCAATGAAATACTAGTAAACCAAACCTAAGCACACATCAAGAATATCAGCCTGGGCTACAGAGTGAGTTCCTGGAAAGGCTCCAAAGCTACACATGGAAATCCTGTCTCAAACAAAAACAAACAAAAAAATTATCCACCAAGATCAAATTGGCTTTATCTCAGAAATGCAAGTTGGTTCAATGTGCATAAGTCAATAAATATAATAAACCATAGAAATGGTCTTTAGTCCATATAATATCCATGAAAAGGACATATAAAGTCCATAATAGATGGATTTAAATGATCATCTTAATAAAAGCAGAAAAAGGCTTTGACAAAATTTAATGATCTTTCATGATAAATGTCCTAGAGAGAGTAGGAAGGAACAAAATTTGAGATAACTAGGGCTACATATGACAAACCCAAATCTGCCATTATAATAAATAGAGAAAAACTCAAAGCAATTCTATTAAAATCAGGAATAGGACAGAGTTAAACACTATCCCATTTCTTTTCATTATAGTGCTTGTGGCACTAGCCAGAGCAATAAGGCAAGAGAAGAATGTTAAAGGGACATGAAAAAAGAAATTAAGTTAAACTATCCCTATTTGCATATGATATATTGGAGAAAGGACAGCATATGCAAAAAACTGGTTCTAGGAAAACTACATGACCACTTGCAAAAGAATGAAATTATACCTGTATCTATCAACCTGGGCAAAATTTATCTCCAAGTTGAGCAATAATATCAATTTGAAACATGAAATGCTAAAAAGGATAAAAAAAAAAAAACAGAGATAGTACCCTACAAGATATAAGTGTAGGAATGGGCTTTGAATGAACAGGACTCCATTTACCAAGGAATTAAGGTCAACAATCAATAACTGGGACACCATAAAACTAAAAAGCTTCTGTACAGGTGAGGGAACTCTAAACTGAGTGAAGAAAAAGTACATAAAATGAGGAAGAATTTTCCCAGTTATACATCTGATAGAAAATTAATATCCACGATACACAAAGAACTCAAAAAAAGTAAAGAAAGAAAAAAAAAACAAAAAAATAGGATAGTCAAAAAATATGACCGAATTTTAAAAACAAAAAATGAACTAGAGATTTGTGGTGATGTATTGTGCCCCCCACCCCAATATACTGTGTCTTCCAATAAAATTTACCTGAGCATCAGAGGAAAAGACCAGCCTAGTAAACACAGGAGTCAGACAATAATCCTATCACTTGGCAGGCAGGAATCTGTCTGGATCTCTTTGAGTTCAAGGCCACACTGGAAACAGAGCCAGGTGTGGTGACACACACCTTAAATTTCAACACTAGTTAAACATGGAGGTCTGTAGGTCTATATTGACGGGAAGTGACAGAGCTGGGCAGAAAGAGGAAGTGATGTAGCTGGACAGAAAGAACACATCAGATGGCAGAACAGCAAGACATAAAGACTTGGGTTGACAGGAAATAACTCGCATTTGGAAGCTGAGGTATCGGTGAGATGAGGTTGGCTTGTGGCTGTTACTATTCCTCTGATCTCTCTCAGGCTTTAACACCATTATGTGGCTCCAATTGTTTTATTTAGTAAGACTGTTTAGAAATTCATCTACAGATATCTAAACAGAGTTCTAAGTAAAGTAAATAAAAATGCCTAAGAAATATTTCAAAAATGTTCATCTTCAGCCACTGGAGAAATGCAAATATATACAACTTTGATGTTGCTTCTTATCCCAATCAGAATGTCTAATATCAAGAAAATAACTAGCAGTAAATGCTGAATAGATTTTTGGGAGAGGGGAACCCTCTTTCACTATTGATGGAAATGCAAACTTTTACACCCACTCTAGAAATCAATGAAGAAAATCCTCAAAAATCTAAAAAGAAACCTGCCATATGAACCTGCAATATCACTCCTTGACATATGCTAAAAGGACTTGAAATTCTACTCCATAAATAATTGTATAGTAATGTTCATTTTAACCTATTCACAATATCCAGAAAATAGAAACAACCTAAATGTCTTTCAAAAGATGAATAGATAGTGAAAAAGTGATCCATATATGCAATGGAAAATTATTTATCTGTAAAGTAAGTTAAAACTATAAAATCTGCAGGTAAATGGATGGATATAAAAAATATTATAGTGACTGAGATAGCCAAGACTGAAAAAAAAAATACCACATGTTCTCTTTCAACTCCTGTTCCTAATCCTCAGATGTGAGTGTGCAACATGGAGTAACCACAGAAATCAGGAAAACAAAAAGGAACCATAGGTGCGGGGAGTGAGGGGCCGAGAGGGGAATAGCAGGTTACAGATGATATGAAGTGGGAAACAGAACAACAAAAGACAAAGCAGACTCTGACTGGGAAGGAGGGAGGAAGGTCAGTACCAAAGAAGAAAGAAGTGCAAAGGACCAAGCCACTATCGTTTGATAAAGCATCAAGGAATCATATTATCTTGTATTTATCTAAAACTATACAGAACACACACAAACATACACACACACACACACACACACACACACACACACACACACACACACACATCTTAAAGGAAGTTAAGTCACATGGGCTGACAATGCTCCCCAAAAGAACCATAGATAAACAAAACTTCTAGTACCTAGCATAAGAAACCCCCTTTCAAACGATTGGTCAGATTAGTCCAAGTAACTCCCAAAACAGTGTTGACTGTTATTGCTTCTCGGGGTTGAATGATAGGCTCCTACTACTGAAGACACCATACACTTAGGACACAAGATTCAGATGATATAAGCTGGATTTGTGGATTTAAAATAATAATAATAATAATAATAATAATAATAATAATAATAATGTCATTCTCTGAGGCAGATTTCTATCAGTAGCCATGATTTTCAATCTCTGTTAATGAAATGTCAGATTTTCTTAGCCATCAGTTTTCAGCCCTAGAACCAGAGTCTAAAGACTAGATAGAATACCAGCTCTGCCCCGCTACCTGTTGGACATAGGAAAGATACTTTGTGCAATTGCTTACAGTTACTTTCTTGAAAATATCCTCTAATGACTTCATGGTCACATACCTTTTAGAGTGTTTGTCACCTGTTCTGTCCCCTGTGGCATTTAAATGTTTGGAAAAGAATTGCTTAAGATATTCTTCTTAGTAAGAAAAGAGACCAAAATGCTAATTTTTAGATACAGATGTTCTTACCTACAAACTCATACTATTCCAAGATTTTAAAATTAACCCTATAAAAGTGTTAAATTCAATTAAGTTAACACTGTAATCATTATGCTTAATTATTGTAAGTGATAGAAATTTTAAAATGAACAGAAATTCAATAACCCTGTGAAATCGATTAGATATGGACATACTTAGCAATGCCTGGCAAGATGAGGATCCCTAAACAGAAAAAGTAATTGACCATTTGAAGATTGTGGATACAATGAATTCTAGAAACTCCTACCCCAGGACTCTTACTATATCAAGTAGTATTTGTTTACTTAAGCAGTTTTGAGATTGGTGTGATGCTATTTGTAGCTCATGGATTTTAATAGATGCGTTACACACATGGGAGCCATATGATACCTGCTTTCATATATTGAACTCTTGCTCTGAGATTGACCATACTTTCTCCAAGATAACCACTGGTAAGCTTGCTAAAAACATGTTCAGAAAGGATATAGATCTTTCAAGTACTAAATTTGAAATCTGATCAAAGTTTTTACTATACAGTTATTTTTAACTGTTAGAGGGTGAATGCTTTTAATTCATTTGGAATAGTTTGGAACATCTATTATGTTGTATATTTTTATTATTATATGGTTTTTATTATACTCACTATAGACTAATACTGATCATGCATTTTGTCATTAACGTGCAAATGCTGAGCTTGCAGTCCAAGTCTAAATTGTCAGAGAGTAACCTGGAAACCACAGCTTTTTTTATTAGAGCAAATGGCATTTTGACTAATGGAGTAGCTTATGAGTCTACCACTGCTGAATCATTTTAACAAGAAAATGTTTTAAGTCCCACTAGTTGGCTGACAAAGTTACTATGAGCCACCAGTGAAATCTCAACCATAAATTCATTAGGTGACTTATGAGCAAGTGAAAATGTACGTGGGAAATCCTTCTAGGAGAGAAGATCATAAACTAAGGCCCCAGAAAGCTATAGGAAATGAAGATTTCCCACTGCTTTGACTTTTGTGGCCAGTGACTATTCTTACACGGTACATACAGGCCAAACTTGAAGCTAGGCTGTAATCATTTCAAATGAATCACAGGCTAGTTAAACCAATTCAATTCTTTTGAATTTTAAGGTTCAAATTTTTCTAAGATACACTGTAGTGCTTAAACAGGACTGGGGAGAAGAAGCTTTCAACCCACACATGCTCCCACTTCATCAGATAAAAGCTGTGCAAACTCTGTGTTTAGAACATTCTAGTATTACTCATACATGCTCCAAGCAGCAGCCAAAGCTTTTTATTACAATAATTCTAGGAAGGACATTTGTGGGATGACTCATCCCTAACGGGCTTGAGGGCCAGCCGGCCCAAACAAGTAAAAAAGATCCTTTCTGAGAGCCAGTCTGGGTCTGCCTGATGGTCTTAGTAACAGCCGCTGAAACATGATCTGGAGATGACCTGGACCCATGAGAGGCAGCCATGTCACACCAGCTGATGCATATTCATCAGACCACCCCCCAGGGTGGGGTGGAGGGTATATAAGGCTTGCCTCTTCCTGAATAAACTGAGCTTGTTGTTTGGACATTCTCCCTGAGTCTGTGTGGTTTGACTCTGTGCCTACTTGGCCCCCACCCCCAAAGGGAACAACAGCAAGGACCCTGATACATCTGGTGCCGAAACCCAGGAAATTTGGTACTTGAACAGGGTCTGTTTGTCTCCCTTTCACGTGCGGCACTGGTTGAGAAGCCCCCTTGAGCTGTATATTTCGGTGAGTAGGCCCCTCTACGTTGTGTAAATTCGGTCCCTTCAGCAGGTAAATGCTGGGACTCCCACTTTCTTCTTTCTGTTTGTCTTGTGTGTGAGTCTGTCTGTACAGTAGAGTAGCACATACTTTTGTTCAGACTTGCCTGGTGTTTCCTTATAAGGGCTGGACCCTCAGGAAACAACAGCCACCATCTGACTATTTTTAGTTGTGTATGTGTATGTATGTATATGGTGTGTGTATGTATGTGTGTGTTTGTGAATGCATGTGTATGCTTGTGGGTTGTGATGCCTGGAGAGATGGATCAGTAGTTGGTAGTGCTTGCGCCAGAGATCTTTTTAGAGAACATGTGGCAACCTGATCTGTGGATAAGAATTCTGTTCCTGGCCAGAAAAAGGGAAGTGGCCTCAGGAGTAACCCTACAACTGTTTGTTATGCCCATTTCGTTGACTATAATTGCTGGCCTAAAGTCATCCTCTACTGAGGCCCACAACAACATATATTGTCAGAAACAATGTAACACCAACTTATCTATTGCCTTGATTCCATCCATGACTGTTATTTACTATGCCTCTGCTGGCAAGGAGAGACATGAGAATAGGCATAAAGTGAAGGAAAGGGATGGCAAGAGAGGAAATGCTTGCAGCAGCATCTAAGCCTATACCGGCAGCCCCTCGACTGTTCCCCCCATACCTCGAGCGGCTACCCCGCCAATACAGTATCCACGGAGTGATTTGACTGGATGTGTGTGCCTGCCGAGACAGCTGCTCCGCATACCTCTCAGCCTGTTCTACCTATGGTGCCGCACATGCCCACCATGTCATTTCCAGTTAATGTGAGCCCCAATGCGGCTAACCAACCATGGATACCTACCCCTCTTGCAGACCTGTCTTTGGTCCATAAGGCTGCTAATGAATCAGGTCCTGACTCGCCATATTTTGAGCAAGTCCTATGGTAATGGGCAATACATTTACAGACTTATTATGACTGGCACCATTTGATGAAGGCTGTGTTGGAGCCTACGGTCTTCCTTAATTGGCGGGCTGCCTATGATGACCAGGCTGAGGTTCAGGCTCATTTTAATATACAGTACAACATCACTATTTCTCTTGATAAGCTCACAGGCCAAGGGCCATATGTTAACCCAGACACACAAGACCAAATTGGACAACATGCTTATTTACTTGCCTTGGGAGACACCATTGCCCCTCATGCATTGAAGGGATCCCATCACCCTTTAGTGGCAACACTCTGTTCTCCTATTAACCCAGGGGTGAGGATATGCTTGCATTTTTCCCCAGAATACCACCACACTGATATGGATACCCTCCAGACATGTGTGTCCGGCAACAGACCAAGAGACATTGGACAAAGAAGAAGCTTCAGAGGGGTAATGTATGATTTGTCCTGCTACTGTGACATTCATTAGTAAAGGTCATGTCATTGCTGACATGTGACCCTAGATATTAAGCAGTTGCCTCACCCCCTACAAGGTCACTAATGCACCACCAGAAGGACTTTGATTGGCGCAATAAAAATGACTGGGGTCCCATCCATGTCCTTGAGATTGAAATTTTTGAATCCTTGTCTTGTTCAAATGTCTTCTGCAACAGGTTCACCAACAGAAGGCGGCCACAAAGGTGACCCTACAGGTTTTATTGGCTCTCAGACACCTAGATCAAAGTCCTCCTAGAGAGATAATGCACACATGGCTCACTGAGATACAGAAGGCTACTGCCTAAAGCCCACCACCCAGACAGCTCTCTAGGATTGATGCTCTTCCAGGGCTGGTAGTCAATGACGGATACAAGCTTGTTAGACAAACCAATCTAAGACAGACACAGTCCATTATGCTGAGCTCTCCTGAGGTGGGGTCAACAAGGTTAGGGCAACGCACCCTAGCTCCCACTGAGCATGTCCTATGAAATAATAAAAAGGGGTGGATATGTGGGATGACTCATCCCTAACCGGCTTGAGAGCCAGACGGCCCAAACAAGTAAAAAAAGATTCTTTCTGAGAACCAGCCTGGGTCTGCCTGATGGTCTTAGTAACAGCAACTGAAACATGATCTGGAGATGACCTGGACCAATGAGAGGCAGCCATGTCACACCAGCTGATGCATACTCATCAGACCACCCCCCAGGGTGGGGTGGAGAGTATATAAGGCTTGCCTCTTCCTGAATAAACTGAGCTTGTTGTTTGGACATTCTCCCTGAGTCTGTGTGGTTTGACTCCGTGCCTACTTGGCCCCCCAAAGGGAACAACAGCAAGGACCCTGCTACAGACATTCAAATCTGAAATGTAGCTATGAATCCGTTTGTCCTTTGAGGGAAAAAACGGTAGGTTCCTGTGATTCACCTGCTCCACTTAAGTGTGCTTCATTCCAAAGAGCCTTCTGAAGAAAGGAAGCCAAGCAGGGTAAATTTTCTGTAACTACTGCTCCCACAATCCTAAGAAATGAAAAAAAAAATGACTAATATAAAGAAAGGGACTTAAAATACAGTTCAGTTGGCAAAGTACTTGCCGTGCAAGCAGTAGAACCTGAATTTGATGCAGACATCAATAAAAACACACATATAAAAATCCGGGCACGGGAAGGCAAAGAGTATCGGATCCCTCCAGCTTACTGCCAGCCAGCATCACATAACTGACAAGCCTCCAACACAGTGAGAGACTCCTTTTACAAACAAAGTGGAAGACTCTTCAGGAACAGCACTAGAGGTTGGTCTCACGTGCTTCCACATATACCTACTCGTGTATACCTGTATGCACATGCACACACAATAAAACAGAGATTCATGAACAGTGGGATTTGTCCTGTGGACTATTTTAATCTTGAATTTCTTTCAGTGCAAGTCCTTAATAATTGTGTAGTTACTAGAGACTAGCAGTCCACCAAAAGCCTAATCTTTTCCTGCAGCTCATTCATTACACAAATATTCCCATTTTTGTAACTGACTTTAATTCACCACAAATACAGTTTGATCTTACTTATGAATTTCTAGCTGCATAAAAGAGGGGTAAATTGTACAAGAATGTGGTCAGCATATTTATATCTTGGATAAGAATTATCAGTATCTATTTGCAACACTATTAACCAACAATTCCAGAGTTTCTGTGGTTTAGCCAAACAATGGTTTAGTCATTCTTTGTTTATAATTTGTTGGAGATCAGGGCAAATGTTGACAAGATATAGGACCAAGGAATTGAGACAGCTTGAGGTTGATTCTCTACCATCCAGTAGGAAGCCTTTTCTTCTGGTGCCTCAGGGGAAGAGAAAGCTGGAAAACTGTGACATGATTTTTCCAAACTTTGGATGAGAGTTGCTTTTAACTACTGTCCATAATCCATTGCCCAAATTCCTCTCCTGTCTGACCACAAAGACATGGGGAAGAGTAATGGTACAGACAGAGTGTTCATCAATAGGCATTCTCTGCTGCCTTTGGAGTCTGGAAACATTCATGCTTCGTCGTAGCATTTCTGCCAACACCCCAGAAAAGAACTTGAAGCAGACAGTAGGAGGAACCAAATCAAATGTAATCAGCAATTTCTTGACAAAATGGAACTCATTTGATTTTTAATTTTTTGGTTTCAGAACTCGAAAATTAGCTTTATGGGTCAAGACAGACATATTAAGAAGTATGAACTACAAGCTAATCCTCTTAATTTTTAATGAATGTCCTTTTTTAATTTATTTCTTTATACTATGTTCATAGAAAACATAAATCATAAAATTTTCATTCACTTCAAAAATTGTATGTTTTAAACATCAAGTTAATATGTTATAGCTTTTATACTCTTAATATAGATTATTATATAACCTACCCCTTATCTTTATTGTGGAAAATTGAGGAGGTTCCATGCAGTTTAAATTACTTTCACTATTCTTGCTTGAACTTACACAGAAAATTCAAATCCATGAATTAAATCCTTTGTGTATCCAACTCTGTACCACATTTTTTTGGTGTACTCTTGTTCTGTCTTATAGAGATTACCTTTTCATAGGGATGCTCTGATCAGGAATTCACTGTCTTGTATTCTCCATTTGTCTAAAGAAACACTTATCTATATTCATGTGTGGGTACATGATTTTGGGATCAGGGTCAGGTTCAATATCTGATATTTATTATAAATAACACTTAAATCACAATCAAAATTCTATGCACATAATAATTTTCCATGAAAACCATTGATGATCTAGAAAAAAAGGCAACAAGGAAAATGTGGTAACCTTGTTCAAAGAATGATGCTTACACAGTATTATTTAATATTCATGTTAACCATGCTTATAAATAACTTCCTTGGCTCAGCGGTTCAGGAACTTACAAAATTTGCCTTGAAATAGTGATGTTACCCCACATCTATGTGGTTTCAAATGCTATGTATTTCCAATCCCATGATAGTTTCCAAATAAAGGCAATATTGACAGTCTTGCAAATAAAAATGTGTTGAAAATCACTGCTGCTTCTCATCCCTTCTGCTCTCCCTAATGTGTTACTTTCTTTGCAACTGTGCAGAGCATGTGTCTACCTATGCCAGTTGATACCTTTTATTAAATAAAGGCATTAGGCGCAACCTCAGCATATTGAAGGAGTGGTAAAATCAAGAATGGAATTAGTAACAAAACTCATTGTTCTTTTGTACATATCAAAATATCATAGTGTGAAAAGCCTTCTGATATTTAAAGAAAAGAGGCACTCCACTCTGTGACTTTGTAACACCCTTTGTCTTCCAAGAAAGTCTCTGGTCATAGTTTCATTTCCGTTCTTTCACTTGAAATCAGAGATACTTATGACACAGAGAGAGAGAGAGAGAGAGAGAGAGAGAGAGAGAGAGAGAGAGAGAGAGAGAGAACAAAACAATTTGTTAGTCCCATGTCAGTATAGATGTATTGGATTTTGATGATTTGCTGCAGCTGACAGCATGTTTACTGATTCCTTCATCCACAGTGCAGAAGCAGGGGCAAGTGAAGATGGTACAAGCACGGAGGAAAGAGCAGTTCTTCCCACTCTGTCTCTTAAATTAGAGCAAGGTCGACCAATTTCAATGTTCTGATGGAATTTTAATTTGACAAGGTTGAGATGAGCACACAACCAGAGTCTCCCTGGCTTAGAACTTGGCACCCATTCTGTCATCCAGACTTGAATGGAATTGGTTAGTGAGTCAGTCAAACTTTCTGCTCCATGTCCACAAGATGGGAATATCAGTCTCTCATATTTACTACTCCATCTAACAATATGGTTTTCCAGTTATTAAAGTCCGTTAACAATTTAGCAGATAGAGATGGAATGACTTAGAGAACTTTTCATGTATTTTTAATATTAGGTGGGAAATTGTATGGTGGAGAACTGCACAGGAGGAGCTTTCAGTTAAGGTAGCGCCTACCTGCAAGGCTGGGTCCTGGAAATGTGATTCAGAGTGATTGGAAATTAAGGAAGACAGACACAATTAAAGCTGAGATGGGGTGGGCTCTGTGCTCAGAGGTAGATGCCCCAGTATCTGGATAGTCAGCACGTTTATTATATTCAGGGAAAACAAGGGAGTGTCCAGCTAATCTTAGTAGGTTTTCCCAGCATTGGAGTGGAATGAGTGTATGGTCATTCAGTCTTCAGGAATGAGGAACTGTTGTCAGAGACTTCGGCAGCTATTGCTGCTGAGCTGAGGTCAGTTGGCACACGAACATCCTGCTTCAGCAAATATCCTACCCTCCAGCATCAGGGAGGCAACACCATTCCCTTAGTAGCCTTGCGACTGCTTGAACATGGTTTTGTTTGTGTCGAGAACACTCAGTCACACAAGGGTGCATTCACTCCCTCCAGGTTACATTTTCTGACTATTGTCTTTGAGTGAAATTAAATGGATTTCCAATTGCTGAGTTACTCCTGTGAGTGTGTAGATACACACTGGCTGCTCACTTAGCGTGGATCTTGTCAGCAGACCTCAAGAGGCAGACATAGCAGTAAACTAGACACCTTTCAAAGCACCCAAAATCTATAGTAACAGGAAAGCTAAAGACCCTAGTAAATTGTGACTTTAGAGAAGTATTTTGCTTTGTGATATATTAAAAAATTGATTTTTAACTTTACAAACAGTAGTTTATTTGAAAAAATGTAGAGGTTTTATTGCATCATAAATCTCATTACAAAACCAGTGAGTTAAATGTATTCCATAATTAAAACATACCCCTGTATTGACTTTATCTGTTCTAAACATAAATTTCTATTACCTCACTGAGGAAAATACATTTAATGACTATGTAGAACAAGAGTTCACATATAAATTTAAATAAATTGACTTTGCACTTTTTTCCAGATGTATATAATCTATGATATATTAACTACAACCAATAAAAGGATATACACACACATATATAATTACAGTTTACACATGCTGTTCAAATCAATCAGGTTCTTAGTTAAGTTGTAGAAAGTGTTTCATTATATGTAAAAATGGGACAAAACAAGCACTGTGGTACCGAAAAGAAATTAATGTTTTAGTTGCTAAGAGGTTCAAGATAAATCACCATTGCAAGGATGAGTGATTAAAGAGTGAATGGTGAGCCAGAGCCCGAAGACGATGGTGAGAAAATAACTGATCTACAAGTAAGGTCAGTGAGGAGGTTTCAGGCAACCTGCCACTACCCAAATTATCTATTCCTTTCAGTATGTCACAAGACCAACAAAAATTCAAAAACATTTCATTAGTGTTTCAACATGTAACTAGTTATCATATATGCAAATTCTCAAAAAATATAGTTTCAATTGATTTTATTCATTAATGGCTGATAAAGTGCTGGTAAAAAGCAACATAAGAAAAGCCTGCATAACATAATAACCTTAAGGTGTAACAATGGTCTGCATACTGTGGCACAACCAACAATATTTTCTCAATAAGGATGAAAATTGTGCCTGGTCCTGGAAACCCAGCCTAGAGCTAGTGAAGTCATGGATCTTATAAAGAGAACCAGCATCTACCACTTTCCTAAAACAGTATAATCCCTAACTACACTCTAAATATTTGTTCTTATACCCACAGGTAAGTGTGGTCTTTGCCCCTCATCAACAAAACTTCTCTTTGCAACAGACAGAGACCACAACAGAAAACCACAACCAAGTAAAATGCTGAGTTGTGGAGCCCAGTCACAGTGGTTATATCTAAAAACATCTCAGGTACCCAAGGCTCACTGATCATTGCGAAAGAAGGGGCAGGAAGAGTGTTGTGAGATTGTGCTTCCTAGAAATGCCAGAGGCTGTGCCTATAGTGTCAACAATATGTTCGCCTAACTGTGAACAGAACAGGGACAACATCAATGTGGATGGGGGAAAGACCACATGGCCCTAACCCTACACAAAGAACTATAGGAAACTAAGGAATGCTGAGAGTGGAAGAAATGGACTTTCCCAGGGAAGAGCACATCAAATGTCCAGTCTGAAAACATACATGAACATGGCATTATACAGACTGAACAGGTTGTACTTATGTATTTAGAATATACGTATATCTAAATATGTATGTGTGCGCACATACGTTCATGCATGCGTGGCGGGGGGTATTCGTGTGTGTGTGTGTGTGTGTGTGTGTGTGTGCGTTAGGAGTAATATTGGTAAAAAAGTGACATGAATTTCAAAAAGAGCAAAGAGGTATTTGGGAGGGAATTAAGGGAGGAAAGCATAAGGGTAAATGATGTAATTATAATATCAAAAATTTTAAAAAATAGTTTTTAAAAGCAATGTTTTCATATTATAGTTTGAGTGTTACAATGACCATAATGCTGTTCACAGTAAAATAATTCATGCAGTGTGATGATACATTGTGTACCCTAATAAAATTTGCCTGAAGATCAGAAAGACAAAGGAATAAGCCACACCTTACCTCTAGGACTCCTCAGCCTGAAAAAGCCTCCCCTATAAGCACTAGCTGAATGAGCTTCCTCAGCCTAAAAGGCTTTAGTTCCTGTCTCCTCATGCCTTATATACCTTTCTCTGCCCACCGTATCACTTCCCTTTTATTGCTGGGATTAAAGGCATGTGACTTTCCAAGCAAAACCATGAGATCTCAAGCACTGGAAATAAAGATGTTTGCCGCCACTGCCTGGCTCTGTTTATCTCCTAGACTGAGTCAATTTCATATAGTCCAGGGTGTCTTTGAACTCACAGAGACCGATCTCTGTTTCCTGAGTGCTGGGATTAACAGTGTGCGCCACCACTGCCTGGCCTCTTTGTTTAATCTAGTGGCTTGTTCTGTCCTCTGAACTTCAGGTAAATTTTATTAGGGTACACAGTATATCACCACATTTAGGAACAAGACCAATAATTTGTACTTCACATATTCTCTTAGTCGGGATTACTATTGTTATAATGAAGCAGCAGGACCAGAAAAACAAGTTGTGGAGGAAAGGATTTATTTGGCTTACACTTTCACACCATAGTTCATCATCTAAGGAAGTCAGGACAGGTTTTCAAATACAGCAAGAATCTGGAGGCAGAAGCTGATGCAGAGGCCATAGAGCAACACTGATTACTGGAATTCTCCCTATGACTTGTTCAGCCTGCGTTCTCACAGACCCCAGAAATATTAGCCCATGGGTGACATCCATAATGGGCTGGGCCCTCCCACATCAATTGCTAATTAAGAAAATGCCCTATAAGCTTGCCAATAATCCAGTCTAATGGAGGCATTTTCTTAATTGAGGCTCCCTCTTCTCAGATGACTTTAGCTTGTATCCAGTCGACATAAAACTAACCAGCACAAACAGTATTTTCTATTTATTATTGTTTCAGAGTTAAGGAAAATGAGGTGAATGAATGTTTTTATGCACAGAAAATACAGTATGTTTAGAATATTGTAGAAAGATAAAAGTATAAAACACTCGCCGGGCGGTGGTGGCGCACGCCTTTAATCCCAGCACTCGGGAGGCAGAGCCAGGCGGATCTCTGTGAGTTCGAGGCCAGCCTGGGCTACCAAGTGAGTTCCAGGAAAAGGCGCAAAGCTACACAGAGAAACCCTGTCTCGAAAAACCAAAAAAAAAAAAAAAGTATAAAACACCCAACTTTACATGTATAGTAAGAAATTGTATATATTTAAAAACAATGGGGTTGGGGATTTAGCTCAGTGGTAGAGCGCTTGCCTAGCAAGCGCAAGGCCCTGGGTTCGGTCCTCAGCTCTGGAAAAAAATATAAAGAAAGAAATAAAAATAAAAACAAACACAAAAAAGAACAAAACTTGTGCATTTTGTAGAACATGGGTCTTTCCATTTAGAACTTCCTTTAAAAAAAGCTCTGCTGTTCACTTCATGTAAGGCTGTTCACTGTTCGTTTACAGTGCTGTACAAGCAACATTCTAAAGGATACTTTAAAACAATCCTGTTAACTTTCTATGTGTCATAACAATTTTCAAAAATGATTGGTGAGATGGTCTCATTCAAGATTGTCAAAGTTTGAACTGCATATTCTGCCTTC